GTGGGCTTCCCTCTTGCTGGGGTCTAAGCTTGTTCTTCATTCAGACTCCCAGATACCGCCAGGTTAGGGCTTCACAGCTTCTCCAAGTTACATAGGGAGGAAGAGCCGGGGGGGGAGATACCGCACAATTAGACTGGCAAGATTCTGCTATTATAGCCCATCTCAGTAAAAGTAGTTTGTCTTCCCGTGGAGCTGATTTCCTAGACTGGTCTACCTCCTGGGACTGACAATGACACACACTTAACCACACACACACACACACACACACACACACACACACACACACATACACACACACTAATGCCTATTGCATCAGGACAGCCTTGACTGCCTTGTGGAAGGCTAAAGGTCCAGATGCTGAGGGGCTGAGGGTATTCCAGAGCAAGGGGGTCACAGTGCAGAAGGTCTACCTTCAGGCCCACATCTCCTTGGATTGTTCCACAGATGCGACCTTCAGCATCTCTCCCCTACGTGCACAGGCAGGCCAGGCAGATTTTGCCTGGAGGAGATGATCTCTAAGGTGCCTTAAAACCAAGTCTTGTAGGGGTTGATAGGTTAAAAGTGGCACATTGAATGGGACTCAGAAGCCCACTGGCAACCAAAGCAGCAACTGGAGGATACGGTAACAGTTACATAGTGGCTCTCACCTGCTAACAAGCTGGCCCACATTTGGAGCCAGCTGCATCTTCTGCACCATGTTTAGTACAGCCCCATTTGAAGCACATTATAGAAATCTAACATCATGGTGATAAGGCCATGAGTTCTAGCCCGAGCCACAAGCCCAGGACAACCCCTAAGATGTAGAATTGCTGCTTCAGGAGAAGAGTGTCCCCACCTAGAACCACAATTCCCTGCTATCTCCCCTTGTTGAGTGGGCATCCCTCTTGCTGGGGTCTAAGCTTGTTCTTCATTCAGACTCCCAGATACCGCCAGGTTAGGGCTTCACAGCTTCTCCAAGTCTGAGCTGGTGATGTAAACCTGAGTATCATCAGTGTACATCCCACACCACAAACCAGTGGATGACCAAGATCTCCCAGCAGTTTTATATGGAGGTTACACAGCAGGGGAGATAGCCGAGGCTCAACAGCCTGTCCTGGAAGAGCCACCATCCAATCATTCCTACTGACTGAAATGGCCCATGATTTTACCTTTATGACGTATGTTTTTTTCCTCCTTACTGATATCAGCTGTTTACTGTTGTTACAGCTAGAATCAGAAAACGGAGCAGCACGTGTACCGAGTCTAAATTGTGGTGGCAGCTTCACTGGGATGACGCAAAGGAGATATGCACTCACCCCCTGCGAGCCAAGGGAGGGTGCTGTGGAGACTGTCCCCATCCATGCCCAGAGTGAAGATAACTCCTCCCTGTCAGTGGTGGCATGGGAAATCTAAACCCAGTCAGCTGAGCTGTTTTACCCACCTAGAAAAAGAGCTAGAGACCCAAATGGCTGAAAAGGCACGCCTCTGCATTACAAAACGCTGACCAGGCCACCCAGGGCACACTGGGCACGCTGACTGGCTTCCTGCCAGGCCAGTGCAGAAGGGACTCATATTCTCTGGGTGCAAAGGGCTCAGGGGAACCCCAGGTTCTTCTTAAAGAAAATGGAGGGGCTCCAGTGACTCCAGAACGGATGACTTTTCAGTCCGTTAATGCAGCTAGGAGCAGCTAGAACCACCAGTAAAGAAATCTGATTAGTTAGTGGCTGACCACGAACCTGGCCAAGGTAAGACTACCTCAGCTATCCTAGGCAGGAGCATTCTTCACCTTACCCTCCTTCGCCTGTTTCTCTTTAAAAAATGTGATGGTAATTAAATCAGTTTCACAAGGAAAGTTCCTGGCCCAGTCAATTTTCCAGCAGACTGGCATGAAAATGATATTGGGCTCTCATCTCCTTTTGGGCTTGGTGTATATGCAGAAGTTTCCAGAGAGGCTGCTCTCGGGGTCCTCCCAAGCCAGAGGAGGATCCGAGCCCCCACTCTGCGTTCCCATCATGCATCTATTTCCATGATAAATGGGGAGGCCAAGATTTTAACAGCTATCTTGGCCTACTTATTAAAGCTTGTTCTTCTGGTCGTTATCTTGGGGCTGTGTTAGATTTTTAACTTACAGGTTTGCTTTAACTCAAAATAGAAACCGGCAACCAATATTTATGCAGGTGCTAAGAACACTTTTGGTAAGCCGCTTGAGAGTTTTTGAAGTGGGACCTGATTTACTGAGGTTTCCCACAGTTTTCTACTTGGCATTTTTTTATCCATCCCCTGGATCAAGTATTATTACTAATGGTGTTGTTTTTCCCTCTTGGGCTCCAACAAGAATGCTCACTTTTGCCTTTAATTTTTCATTGGTTCTAGAGCATCTCCCCTATACCATGTAGCCTTCTGGTCATAGTAAAGGAATTGCCTGCTGAAAAAATGGACTGAATTTTCCACAACTGAAGGCTTTCCACTGGACATTTATTGTACCTTCAGTTCTTGCTGGAAATTAGGCATTTCAGGATTTAACTCCTCTTAGGACTTAACGGTAAAGCATGTTATGACATAATCTCTTAAATATCTTAACTAAGTTCTTGCATTAGGACTCTGTGTAATTATTTTCCCTCCTTCCCTATTTGCAGATGCTCTGCTGAAAACCTATTATTTCACCCCACTAAAATCCTGTATTGTACGGAACCCTTGTGTGACAAGTAGGCCATTGGCATTAATGACAAATATGTCATTAATGCTGCAAGACGCTGGGTTGCAGATACAATGTTAACTCTTTCGCCCATGAAAAGCTTACATAATGGGATACTCCCAATTTTAAAATAGCTGATAAATCCATGTGGAAAGTAAAATCTTTAATTCTATGAAATTGAGCTAACAGCAGCAACATATGAAGCCGTTTTAAAAAATTGTAGAACTTGATTTATCTAAGGGTCCTGTTCTTGTAAATCAGAAAGTTGTGTTTTAAAAGAATGTGAAGTTAGTTTCTTTTTATCACCATGCCACGTAACATTTTGCTTTCTGTATGCTAGCCACCTGAAAGTGTATTTAATAAGAATAACCACTTTGCTCCTGGAAAAGCAGCTGAAAAGTGGGCCTCAGGACTGTTAGAATGCCTTGGAGGCAGAATTCAAGGCATACTGATTACTACTAGAGAAATCTGAAAATCGGATGCTTCTTCACCGCTCCTTCGAAGTTGGAGACCAGAAATGTTCTCCCGCTTCTTTCATGGGATCCCAAAGGGATTCTTAGACATCACCTGGTCCAAGCCCCTCCTTGGCGCAGAATCCACGAGGCCACTTCTGACTGGTGACCACCCAGCCGCCTTTGGAGGGCGTCCGGTGAAGGAGGACTCACAACACTGCCTGGCAGCCTGGCTTCCTCCGCTGGCTGGAAGCTCAGACAGTCAGGAAGTAAACTCTAGTCTGGACTTACCTCCTTGTAGTTTAACCCCTTGGCTCTGGCCCTGCCTTCTGGGGCATGAGGGAGTAAGCCCACTCCCACTTCTTGTAGCCACCTTTCAAATATTTCAAAACAGCTTTCTCATTTCTGAGTGCTAAGAGTTCTCTCCCACCGACCTTCCAGATCCCCTAAATACATTTTCCAGCTGTAGACATCTTCTCCAAAGACTGGTTCTCTCCAAAGAGCTCCCCTTTGGGGCCCTTTTGCTAGATCTTGAGAGCGCCTCCGTTTCTTAATGTGGCTGGCTGCTTCTGCGGTGACACCATTCCTCCAGCTGCTGCCTGTCAGAGGAGCATTAAATCCTCCTTTCTCATCAAGTTAGCAGAGCCATTTTGGTCCTTGACACACACCCCGCCAGCCAGACCTTGACATTTGCCTTCCATCAAATGGCTGCTCTTCTTTCCAAGGCCTCTTTTGGGAGCCTCCATGCATCAGCAGCACAATTCCCCTTGTTTATTCTTCTTGATATATTCAGAGAATCTCTGGTTTTTTTTTAAATTTTGTGTACTCTCAGCAAGTTACTCAGAATGCTTGCAATGCATTAAAATGTTCCTCCTCACTTGTCATACCCAGTCCACTTTTCCCCCCAAGACCAAATCAGGAAATGTTCCTGAATAGGTTGCTTTTCACTGAACAATGTATCCGGGACTTTGGGTCTCACTCAAGAACCTCTCTGCTCTTGTACATCTGAGCAAACGCCTCCACCTTCACCTTCACCTTCACCGCCAGCACCTCCACCAACACCACCCGGAATGGTCTGCGTGCCATGGCCTCCTTTCACGAGTCTCCCTCTTCATGAGGGAGTTCTCCCCTTCCCCCGAGGAGGACGCAATCCCCGCCTCGCGGTCCGAAGACGTCACAGCAACGGCCCCAAACGACTGCTCTGCCAGGGAGCTGGGCTCATGTTCACCCACCCGCTTTACTGCTACCGCACCGTACTTTCCAGGGAGCATCTCCTGGGGGGAATCCCACGCAGGCAGCCAGAATGCAAGTCTAGTTGCGTATATGTAACGCCCTGTAGGAAAGAAAATGAGGCGGCCCCACTGTCCCTAGGGCTCCCTCACCACCTTAGGGCTCGGGCTACTGCCTTATATATACTTATTTAGAGAATAATCCAGTTGGGACCCTTTGGAATAAAAGGGGATAGGATGGGGCCAGATCTTCCCAGGAGCTCCTTTCCAGGTTCTATGGATCACCATCTGGAACAACCAGTTCCTACCCATCATCCCCAACCAATCTGCCTGACATTATAAATCAAGGTGACATACTTCAGGCAGGTTGGTTGAGCATGATGGGTGGGAAGTTTGCCATGTCTGGGGAGAGTCTGCTGAACTGAGGTGGTGGTATAATGTCTCAGGGAGGCCCTTCCGAGGAAGGGTTTGCTTTTCTGTGAAACAAAATTGATTAATCCCGAAAATGAAGAAGACTGGGTTGCATTTCTTTTGGGTTCTGCCTCTCTCTCTCTCACACGCGCACACTTGCGCAGAGCACCTTAGGGTGAGCTGATCGCAGGCGGTCGTGTTGCATCTGACCCCAGCAGGGGCAAGCGAGCGCTTTCTTCCCGAGCAGTCCCGGCTGAGCCAGCCCAGCCGCACAGCACCCCTCCTCAAAGCTGGGAGCAGGAACCAACTGGCCCACTGAGTTGGGGCACTCACCTGTAAATGGGACCCAGGTTCTGGAAGTTCTTGTCCATGACATGATGGAAGTTTTGGAAGCCATTGGTCCTCCAGAATTGATAGAGGTTCACCCAGGCATTGTGCCCATTGCGTGGAATGGCCTCAAAAGGCAGCACCTTGGAGGGACTCAGTTTGGCAACCACAGCTGGGGCCGCTGAGTGGCAAGGCCGTTCCACCCAGAAGGCCCGAGAAAGGCCAGTGTGAGCAGACCTGGGGCTTAGACGGCTGCACGCCCCCATCTCCTGCTCGTGGTCAGAGTCCCCGCCAGCTCCAGGCCCTTTCAGGAGGAGAGCAAGTGAGGGAGGGCTCTTTTATCCTAGTGGACCTCCCCCTGCCCAAGGACGGCTGCCCCGGCAGTGCGGGTGGGGGGAGCCAGCATGCGTCTGCCAAAACCCTCTCCCTCCTGCTTCTTCATCTCACCTGCTGCCCCTAAGCCAGGAGGGGGGTGGGGGGCTCTGAGACCCAGGAACTGTGTTGAAGTCGAGGGGTGAACAAGAACTAGAAAGATCTTAAGGAGCTACTACATTTATCCAAAAAGAAGACAACCCTGAATCCAAGATGACCCCCCCACACACACACACATGCAAGAAAACTGTACCTGCGGCTTCCCTGCTGCTCTATGCTCTGAATCTAAAAGAAATGTTCTCATTTTATAGGCAAATTATTCAAGAGGTCATCTTCCTTTCAGGTACATAGAGCAAAACCGCCATTTCCTTCAGATGTTGAAGAATTGGGGGCCTTGATATCAAGCACCTGAAGGAAGAATGGGTCTTCCTGTTCGTTCACTTCTCACCTGAGTTGGGCAGTGGCCTAAAATGGAGAAAGTGGTAGCATTTCTGAAGCTCTTAAGATGAAACTGGGCAGGAGAGGTGCATGTTCAGAAAATCACCCTGGGGGTCTCTCAGCAGAACTCAAGTTACACCAAGAGGGCCAGGAGACACCCCCCCCAACACACACACACACACACACACACACACACACACACGTTTCACAAGGGAGTGGCTTGAACCCCAGGATCCATTTGGAGCCCAGATGTGTTAAAGGATGCCCGGTGATGCCTCCCAGCTTCCGGGGGCATTAAAGATGCACCTTGCGGAGGGCACAGGGGAGGGACCGGGATAAATTTGGCAGGAAGGTGCCTTTCCGGTGGGTGCAC